CAGCACACATAAATTTAGCTCCTTCTTCAGTCAAGTCTGGATTGATTCTGGCTGCTCCTGAGAGGGGTTTATGAAGAGGTGCAGGTCCTCATTAGTGGAAAGTTTATTCAAGGCTTTCCACTGATGTGTATCTGATTGATGTGCACACAGAATTCCTCATCATTCCTTTTGATCACCAGGGCTGATTCATCAGTTGAATAGGCCCTGGAGATCAATATCTCCAAGGCTGGTTCCTTTTGCTAGATTTCCTTGGAATCTTGTTTTTTTGATTCTGGTTAGAAATTCATGTTTCATAACTGTTTTTATATAATCATCTTCTGGAAGAAGATGGATTTATTTTTCTGGAATATTGAGACGACGTGGCGTTTCGGACGCTGCGTCGTTCTTTTCTTCTTCTGTTTGTACTCCTGACTCGGGCGACATCTAGTCGTCCCGAGAAAAGCGGCGTGTCAGCGGGCGACATCTGTTCGACCCGTGACACTGGTCACAAAAAAAGAAGCAAAAATGCCATCAGAAAATTTGACTTTGACAGACGTATGAAGGGAAGAAGCCTTTGAATTATGGAGGTTTCTAGTTTCCTGTTTCTAGGAGAATCCAGACAGGGACTCGAAATAAAAAAAATGCCACATAGGAAATTTCGAGTTATCGAAGTTTAACTGCATGAATACTTCACCTTACTCAACACAGAACTCAATAAGATGCACGTGACGAAATATTTTCCCAAAAAATAAAAATAAATAAATACTCACTCGATAGCCAGTGAGTTGTCCTCTCATATTCTCTCTGGTGTCATCGACAGGCTGCCACGTGACACGAATGGAAGTAGAGTTGTGAGCTCTGGCACCAACTTCCGTAGGTGGAACTTGAGGAATATCTTCCGCGCTGAAAACGACTGCTTCTTCGGATTTAACGCCAGGGCCTGCTCTGTTAATTGCCTGCAAGAGATGATAAATAAAATAATCGTATTCCGGATTCGTTTTATGGAATTTTTGCACTTATGAACCCTGCTTCGGAAAAAATGGCTGCGAAGTAATAATCCTTGACACTTTTGAGGGTGCCGAGGGAAACGCGGATGACAGCGATCATAGAAAAATACCATATTTAAGCGAATTCTCATCCAATTTCAGAAGCTCAAAAATTAGGGGGATGCTTATTTTCGCATACCGTATTTATGCAATACGCGTGAATATGGGCATGAATGAGAACATATTCCTGTTCGAGACCCATAAAAAATCAAACATTTCTTTGGAAATTGAAAAAAATAATAATAAAGAAATGTTCAGCTGTCGGCAAGATGCCAGAGTCATTGACAGAATGTGAACTTTCGTTTAATGATTCATTTTGGTAAAAATGTCACAATAAATAAAAATAAAACCATAGGCTAGACATTCGCAAGAATCGCCGAGATTTTCAAATCGATGCTTCTACACTGATTCTGGATTCCTGCGCGGTTAAAATATGTACACGACTCAAAAAGTACCTGTAAAACGACTCCATATTTGCTGTAATAATATTGCTTTGGAATAAGAATGACGTGCATCCCAATGTTGCCCAGATCAGTCAGTTCCTTCGACTGATACTCGTACTCCTGATCGATTTCCAAACGTCTCCAATAGATCTTGTAGTAGATATCAGGGGCATTTTGTTCCTCTCCAGGAAGCGGCTGTTGAAAACATAGTATCAAATTTCAAATTAGAATACTCTAATTGATGCAAGGAATGCGCAAAAGATGGAATGAAGTTCGAAAATAAAATAATTCAAACTCAATTATGAATGCATATCAGACAAGTGAAAAACAACCTAAGCTCAAAGTTTACTAGAAAGCACATCAATAACTAAAATATCGAGAAAATATTCAGCAATTTCTCAATGCTACGCGGAAAAAAATCCGTTGAATGCTAAAACCAAACCTTTCGCTTCGTAAATCCGTTGAAACGTGTCATGAAGAGAAAAATATTTAAATTTAACCGTGTTTAATCGTTACTCAAAAATGATTTTACAGTACTACACTTTAAATGGCACTTTTTAAATTCGCTGCATATCTATCGAAGTGAAGCCGCGACTTTTATCGCAGCAGAAAAAAAATTGAAACCATTTCGCTTAGTCGGAAAAAGTGGCGATGATACTTTCCCCCCCTCCCCAAGTTCTTCGGACGTTTCAAAAAACTACAATACTGTACTCCATTAAAACCGGACTATCTTTCTCAATATGAGTTCAAATCCTCTAAAAAAATATGCATCACGATCACGAAATACAAACCGTCCAGGTGACAGTGAGATCTCCCGTTTTTCCTCCACCTCCACTAATGTTTGTGGGTGCTGTGTACGGAACATCTTCCTCTGTTTTGTACGTCGGTGATGAGTCAGAAGGAAGACCTGGGCCAAATAGATTCGCTGCTCGGACTCTAAATTCGTACGACGACCACGGCGCCAAATTTGTGACACAGTAGGCTCGTGATCCCCGACTGCTCTGCGGTTCTGTCGTTGAAACGTGGATTCTTAATTATTTGAACTTTTTGTGCGCAAAAGAAAAAAATCATACTAATTAAAATTTCAATTAAACGCTATAAAAATGCCCGAAAAGTACAGCAAAACCTCGAGTTTAAGTTCAAGGGCAAACAAACAAACAAAATCGATTTTAGGAGCTTGCGAGTTTGGGAAAGAAGTATTCTTGTTGGCGAAGAGAAAGAATTACAAGAAATTGTAATTGGTGATATACAGCACATGGCCTTAAATTGCTTGTCAAATGAGTTGACAGGGTGCTGAACTTGGAGGCAAGGTTCATTGGCTGAATTATTCTTTCACATTCTCTAAAAATACATCAAATCACATTTTTCTTGCTTTGCTTTTTCCGGTGTCAATCAAATAATACGAAAAGGCCTACAGAAAATTCGAGTTATGGAGGTTTGAGGCGGAAAGCCTTCGAATTATGGAGGCTTTCAACACATGGTTTCTAAAAGAATTCAGACAGGGACCTCACATTTTTTTTACATAAGAAGGTATTTGAAAAGGGAGGTTCTACTGTATCCGCGGAAACAAAAACTTAATAAATCAGATTCCCATGATAATTTTTCGCATAATTTAAAAACCAGTGCTCGAATAGTCAGATTTCGAGCATGAATTAAAATCCGCACTGAACTACGAGGAATGTTAGGATGTAATTTTGCAAACCTTTGCAGTCCAACGCCAATGTTTCATTTTGTCTGACTTCATCGTACGGATGCACAGGAAGTTCTCTCCATTCGTCATTCCAGTTGGTCTTGCCTTCCACGACGTATTCCAATGGCACATTCAAGCCATCATCATTCACCATGTTTGCATCCACCCACGTCAACCAGGCTGAATTAGCATCCAGGGAATGAGCACGAACACCACCTGGTTTCATACAATTGAAATTGATCAAGAACAGAAGATTCTAGTGATAATTCAGAAGAAAAAAATATTCATGACAAGAACTTAATTCATAATCCTGTTCCATTCAAGATTGGTTTTTCTGCGAGGTTCAAATAATCCATCGTGAATACCTTGTTCGCTTACAAAAACAGGATTAATACGGTAATGTAGAATACATGTGCATTGGGAAACGTTTTTTTCTGGATGCTCTATCCAGCAAAGTCCGGCACAATGAATAAAAAAAAAATAATTAATCCAGAAAAATGAATTTTAAATAAAAACAACCAAGTTTGTCGACGCTTTGAATCGGAAGATTAAAATTGCAAATCACATAATCCTCTAAATCCCACTACCTGAAATAATGGCAAAATTCAGATGGTTTATTGAACGTAGCAACACTTCGATTTTGACAAGAAATCCATTCGGCGGAACGCTTATATTAGAAAATGTTTCTGAAAAATTTGCCACAGAAGATTTCAAAAATTCGTTTCTGGAGATCAAAATTTTTTCCACAACACGGCAGTAAAAAATCATTCGCTACCTCGATATATTTATCAATATAACTCAAAATGTTCGCGAATCTGGTATTTCAAAGATTCCCCGGAAAACGCCCGTAACATTTGAATTGAGTTCAAATAAAAAATATTTCCTTACCAGGGGGACCCAGGGGACCATTGACAACCAAGTCAATCGTCATGGCGACGCAACGACCTTTGCTGGGAGGAAGCTGAATTTCCGGGCAATATTTCCGGTTCGATCCTGTTGCAACGGACTGAGAATACTGCATATCACATTCGTAATGCCCGGCATCGTCCATTGTTATATTCCTGATTATCAGCGTTCCATCATCATCCTGTTCCAAAGGTTGAAAAAAAACCGTTACTTTCAACAAGAAACGCAAATTCCCGATCGTTACAGGGTTTTTCAATTGATAATTTGTTCCACGCAACGAATGTCCCATATTTCATGAAGTTATAAACGCCGCATTCCGAAATTTCCGCCAAGGAAAGCTGAAAATCCTAGTGTCATTCAAGCGATAGAAAAACTAAAGAAATGAAAACTAAAAACTAAAACGATAGAAATTTTATTCGTTTCTCACTCGCATTCTTTCACCACAATGTGGCGAAAGATTCCACAGTTTCCTCAATATCATCAGAAATAGTTTTTTTTTGGTCAAGAACTCGAAATGTTACAATAACATGTTACTGCTTAAACGACATCAGGAATTTCCTTTTCATCTCAAATTATTTTAGCATACCCTGCTGACAATTTCCCAATTTAAAGTTCAGATTTCGCTGAAATCCAATATCAGTGGATATCCACCAAAGAGCAAAAGGAATCGAAATGAAACACGAAGAGAACATCTCGAATTTTTCACACGAAAATTTTCTGGGTATCCCGAACTTTCCTCTTTCATGATCCCCGTATAAAGGAATATTCTACAGGACTCGAGGTAGAAAAAGTTTTGAGAAAAGTGCGGGTATTTTCACAGAACTGACAACAGAAGTGTCACGACTAAGTTGGAACTCACCGTAGCGTGTCTGCTCCAGGGATCAGAAGTTCTTATGATTCTGCCATAGTGTTTCCACTGGTAGCCCACGTCTAATCGCATGTTCCTCCTGTAACCGTCCAAACACGGCAAACGAACTTCTTGATCCAGAACGGAAGTTTGCATATTCCGCACCGAAGCTCCATCTTCCACGCACGGCTTTTCTGAAATAATCCCAGAATAGAAAAATCATCAATAACATCAACAAGCGATATAAAAATATCATTTCAGCACTTTAAAAACAGCAATAAATGGATCAAGAACTTGAAAGCGTACCTTCAACTTCCAAGAACGTTGAACTTTGAACTTTTTGCCCAGTGGTTCGTGATGTGGCCACACAAGTATAGTATCCTTCGTGTCGGTGTTCAAGGGAAACAAAAAGCAGCGACCCATCAGAGCACTGAGTAGCACCTGAAAAAAATCATAATATTTACAACAAATATAATTCAGACAAAAAGCACACTGTCATTTCCGTTTCGAAGAGCTTTATTCAAGAAAAAAATACCTGACCACTCTCTCAAGAAATCTATACGGAATTTATGACATGGAGAAGCAAGGAGAATATCGATTCCATCTTCCGTATAAAACTTTTGAAATCCATAGAACAGGAATGCACAGAACTTTAAATTAGGCTGAAAACGTGCATTGTTTTTGCTTCAATCCCGAAAATCCATTCCTTCAATTTTTCGGTCTACAACTCAGGATTACCAAATAATAGCTTTTATACCAACCAATCTTTGTCCCTCAAAGTCTCAAAATGACCATACGTGCAAAGTTTTTTAGGAGAAGGAACTTTTATCACACGGCACGGCGGTAAAAAAAATTGCAAATAAAGAATAATTATTTTAAACAACATAACACGCCAATTTTTCCTTCAACTCCTTGTCTGATTTCCCTTAGAGACAATACATTAAATACAGTACCTCCCGAATTCGAAGGCTTCCCCCGGCAAACCTCCAGGACTCGAATTTCCTGAAGGCTTTTGGCTACTACAGTATTTTATTGACACAGGAACGAGAGAGGGAATAAAAACTTAAATTGATGTGTTTTGAAAGGAAATGAAAGACTAGTTAGATAAATGAACCCTTACATTCAGGTTCAGCAGCCCGTCAACTCATTTAAGAAGCAATTTACGGCCTAGAATATAAACAATTCCAATTTCCCATTAACCCATTACCTGCCATGAGCCCCATTTGGAACTCAGGAGGTTGTTGGTCCCCTAAAAAAATACCATCCAGGCAAAAATAATGTGAAAATATGCAAAGCCTCTGCAGCGAAGTTATCTATAATTCAAGACCTCATTTGCCTCTTTTTGTCTATTTTTCAATTTAAAGCAATATTTTTTCTGAAGCCAACTTTAAAATTCCGTTGGAAAGTTAAAAGATGATTTTTGGAATACAAGAACAGTACTTTCTAGTGCAGATGAATTCAAAATTTTTCATGTCCTTGTAGCCTGGTTATTTCTCAATGCTTTGGCATATTTTATTTAATTTTCTGAAATTTATAACAATTACAAGAAGTTCCAGAACATTGATCCCCAAATGGGGCTCATGGCAGTTGGGGTGTAAAACAATAATTTTCAAATTTTCTTGAAAATGTGTCCAAAAAGTTCCATATCTTGAATAAAAGTGGCTGCTGGGTTGAGCACACAGATGTGATGATAAAAACATTTTAAATAAAATTTATTTGATTTTGAAATCAATTTTTCAAATTTTTCTGTAATTGTAATAAATATAATTTTTGTGATAAAATTTTTCCCCAAGCTTTCAAACTTCATCTTACAGTTGAAAAATGCTAGCAAATTACTTGGTTTACAGCCTGGATGCTGTTCATAGGATTTTGTAGCTTTTACAAAAAAATAAATTTAAAAATACAGTACTGTATTATTTTGAAAATCATAAAAAATATGTATGCATTTCATTCCTAATGGCATTCTTGTATCTCAAATGGATCAGAAGATATGTTTGCACTCACATTTAGCTTAAAATGATAAAATTTAGCCAAAAAATGCAAAAAATAATTTTTTTCCAATTTATAAAAGATTTTTCTTATTAGTAAAAAAGGAGATGGGACCTGCCATGAGCCCCATTTGAGGATCAAACTTAAAATTCAAATATTTGACAAAATTTTGAATTTAAAAATTGGGAAAAAATGTCCCCAGCCTATCTACATGTAAATGAAGTGAAATGACACAAAAATGGGCATGCAGGAAATTTGGCAGTTAATGGGTTAATTGTGCTTTACTTCACAAAAAAAACGCTCGTTTCTCTAATTTGAAACCTCGAAGTTCGACTTGAAGAGGTTCGACTGTAAAATAATCATGATGAATAAAAGGACATGATTCGTTCAGAAACCCTCGGTTCAGAACTAGCACATTCGTACAAAAATGAAAACCGAACAAACCTGAAACAGATTGCCACGCAATATCCGGCCTCGGCGCCCCTTCCGGTTCGCAAGGAATTATCAAATTTTCCCCAGCAACTCCCATCGTCACTGGGTCCAGTGGCGTCCTTTCGAAACTCACAGGCAAATTCACCAACACTCGCAATTCGGCCGACGAATACGCTACTCCCAGCTGACTCCTCGCAGAGCATTCATACATTCCTTTATGAGTCTCGTCGACTCTTCTGATCTTCAGCACATTGTGGAATATGCAAATCGCCGATAAATCCGTGTCATCACACGTCAGGGTTTCGTTCAACAAGACCCCGTCTTTCAGCCAACGGTATTTCACCGACGGCTTCCCGAAAGCCTCGCAAACCCACATCAAACGTTCGCCAACGTCCATGTACTGATCTTGCAATGGTTTTATAAAACGCGGCTCAGCTGGAAAAATAATTATAATGCAAACATTCCGTCATAATCATAATTTTTAAACCGACGAGTGTTGTCCTACTTGGGCGCGACCTTGAAAATTTCTGGAGTAGATATGACTGTAAAAAAATGTTGTATCATGATATAGACCAGGATGTTGAAAAGCTTTCGGATTTGGAAACAAATAATTTCTCAATTTACTTCATGATGGTAAAATTTCCAGGTCAGCTAAAAATATGATTTTCTTGCTTAACCATCATCTTTTCTAAATTTCTAAGAAATTTCAATTTTCATCCGGCCTGACACATTTTCAGAACCCAATGACATGAGTGAAGAACTCTGGCCTCAGCTGGAAAGTTTTCCTTCATCATCACGCAGTAAAGTGATATTTTTTAGATACTGTACAGGTAAAAAAAAAAATCCCATAACTTCAAAACATCACGGCTTATACCATAATTGTTTTCATGGTCTTGAATACCCATGAAATAACCATGATCGCAACCAAGTGAGACAACCCTCGTACATGGCAACTCACCTTGGATCCTCAAATTGGCCGAATCCTCTCTGCTGACGCGAGAATTGGCAGCCTTGCAAACATATCTACCTTCATCTTCCAGCGTCACATTCGGAATGATGAGAACTCTGTTGTAGTTTGCCAATCGTGCCTTTTTTGGAAGACGACCGCCATTTTCTCGCGACCACTCGTACGATGGCACAGGACTAGAAAAATTGGCATTCAAATTTTCAGATTAACGCTAAAAATACAAATAAGCAACTTGGAGATTTTAGCGATAGAAAGAGCAGTCAAAATGTAGGAAAATTTTGAACACTCACTATCCAAAAGACATGCATTCCAGGCGAACATCTTGTCCGGCGATCGGGGTTTCGGGAAAGGCCTTCGGAAAATTGTTCGGGAACTGAAGCTGCTGATAATTAGCTAAAACACGTAATGAAATCCAACATAAGATCTCTCTGAAAGAATAATAAAATTCCAGTTTCACTCACGATCGTGGACAACTTTGAGATCGAAGAAAGGCCCGTGTTTTCCTGTCGACGACACATTCGTCTTCACGTTACAAGAATACTTCCCTTCGTCGATCTTCTCCAATGCCGAGAAGTACAAATGCCCGTCGAAAGAGACAAATGTTCTTTTGTCTTCTTCCACAAAATCTGGGAACTTGTTCCGAACCCAATGATACGTCAATTCTGCAATGAAAAAATAAATAAATATAAAAAATCGTGTTTCAAGGTTTTTCAATCAATTTCAACAAACCAGGAACGGACGGAGGGGGATCGCAGAACAAAGCCTTCCCCCAGTTTTCTTTCCCATACTCTTCCGAACGTTGCAAATTGAAGTCTCCGATGTGTCCAAAAGATATCGGAACTTCCCGGGAGCGAATCGTACCAAATCGGTTCGTAGCTTCGCAAAAATACTTCCCACGATCGTCCGACTAAACAAAAAAAAATAAGACAAGGGAAGAAATAATCATGAAATATTGCTTGAAACAACGGTGAAGATGAAAGATTGGAAGCCGGGTATTCAGGTAAAAATAGAGTTTGGAACCTCAAAAATTCGAACCTTTCGAAGTCAACCCTTCCCCTGCTTGAATTCCCTTAAAAATAATAAATTAAAAACCTCTATAAATCGGAGGCTTTCCCCCACAGAACTCCAAAACTCGAATTTTCTGGAGGCCTTCTGGCTATTTTTTTATTGACATAGGAAAGAGAAAAGCAATAAAAATGAAACGACAAGTTTTGAAAGGAAGCGAAACACTAATTGGGCAAATGAACCCTTGCCTCCAACTTTAGCAGCCTGTCAACTCATTTAAGAAGCAATTTAAGGCCCAGAACATAAAAAATTACAATTGCTGACCCCTGCGCAAAATAACACAATTCAAGCGACATCTAAACAACGGCCAAATAAATCTCGGACGTCAAATGGCAATGAAATCTCACCGGATTCGGATTGTTGATAATCAAGGAGCCCCCACTGATCGTAATTCGCTTCAATTCGTCATTCAAAGGCTTGATTTCACTTCCTACTCCATCCTCATACCTGAACCAACGGTATGTTGGCGCCGGATAACCATCCGCATAACACCTAAAAAATGCGAAAAGCAAAACCCCGAAAATTCAAAAAGTTGGACTCAGTTTGCGAAAGAAAAAAAAAACTGACTCACGTCAACGTGGCGACGTAGTTGGTATCTTTCTGAGTTAAATCGAACACAAATGGATCAGGTTCTCGCAAAAACTTGGGCCCGGTTTCGTAGAATATCTTGCGCTTGTAATCGACGCCGACATCGTATATCAAAGGGACTCCGTAACCCGGACCCCTCGGTGGACCCAGTCTCGCATTACATTGTCCTTGAGCAGATTCACAGATGAAACCTATCCCATCTATTTGCTTAAACACGCATTTCTCCGGAAAGAAGTCATTGATCGGATCGTACCTACGAAAGATCACTCATTTCAATTCCGAGTTCCATCGCTTTTTTTCGGAAGACTTTAGCATTTCAAAATTAATAAATAAAGAGGCAGGTTATGTTCATGTCAACTCCTGATCAGAGTTGAAGTAAATTCCTCTTAATTAGAAAGACAACCAGAAATTATTTTGTACAAATTCGAACGACATCAGAAGCAGGGATCTTTTCAATGCATTAAGTATCCAAAAAAAAGCCAACAGTTAAAGCATTAATACGTAGTGGAAACCATGTCATACATAAAAACGCAAAATTTAAACGGCAGGGCCAGGAAATACTGCAGTCACACACGACGCACACCTTTTTTTGTCAAATTTGAGAGAAGTGACGGTTGCACATCATGGGTAGGTATAATTTTTTTCAAGCTTTTAGACAGGGGTTCATTGTATTTGCTTTTAATGGATAATTTAGACCAATTTCAACAGAAAAAACTTGGTGCAATGGAAACAATTGAAAATTAGTTGAATTCAGGTTTAATACATGTCTAACTTCAACTTTGGGTGTTCCTGTTGGATTTAGAGGCACTCAAAATGGGGTGCTAGCGTTCATTGGGGATAAAATTGTATCGAAGTGTTCGACTGAAAAACCCTTGTGTGTCTTCTACTCAAGCAAACAAGGTACTTCCCTAAATACAGTACAGTACTTAATTCTACTGGGAAATTTAGGACTAAGTCAAACAGAAAACTCATTTTAATGGAAACAATTGAAAATTAATTGAATTAACGTTTAGTTCACGAATAAATTCAAATTTGAAAGTTCTCATTTTGGAAATATTGTGGCTTTAGAGGCACTAAAAATGGGTGCACATTTTACTCATGGATACGATTTCATCAAAATTTTCAACCAAAAGAACCTAACGCACGTTTTACTCAATTGTATGAAGTACTGTACTTGAGTAATTACAGTAATACGCCAATGGATTTGAAATCACTTATCAACGCTTCAAAAGAGTCAATACACAAAATATTAGGCATCAACAGCATTTAAATAGCTAAAATTCAAATGAAACATGCATGAGTGATAAAATTTATCAATAATCATGCAACCGAAAATCTCAGGATAAGTCGATTGTCAATTTTCTCTCCTGATGCGCTCCCCGGTAATAATCCTAAATCAAGTCAAAATCGTTTATTATTCACTGAACTTACTCGACCACAGGGATCTGGTAGTGCTGCTCGCAAAACTCGTTGCCATACGAGGATTTCTCCAAAAACCCAGGGATTCTCCAAGTTTGCTTCGAAGCGTACTTTTGATTCCATCTCTTGATTTCTTCTTGCAGAAATGTGCGGAATTCCCGATAAGTGTCGAGCCTCAGCAGGGCTCCATCAGAGCAACTAAGGAACTAAAGAATCCTCTTTCAAGCGCCTTCAAAATTTGGCCACAAAAAAGTATTACTGTACTCACAGCACAGTATTCCTTGGCGTATGTTTCATTCAAATTCGGACTCGACACAAAGCGGAAGCATGAGTTTTTGTGCTCAATCCAATTGTCAGGACACCCTTTGTCATCTCTCACTTGAGCACTTGCAATTGAGAAAAGGAACAAAAACCACAACATGGTGGCTTTTCTGAATAATAACAATACAAAAAACCAAACCATTTTACAAATGAACAAGTCCACAAGTTACAATAGTGAAAGAGTCAATGGATTCGGGGCAAAGTTTTTAAGCACAGTACACATCTACAAGCATCACAATCGCTCGCACTTTACAAAAAGACGAGAACGGAAGGAATACAACAAAATAAGCCAATACGGAAGCAAGCACAATTGATCCTCAGCCTGGTGTTCCATAGACTCGATCCATCTGAACGCATCACAACCAAAAATTAAATGCTTGCAAGATGTTCTCAGAAATTAAAAACTGGTCATCCAACAAAATCACAGTGTTCAAAACCCATTATCCCTCAAGAGTGCGTCACAATTCAGAGAAAAACGAAAGGAATATATAATTTCTAGCTTCTTTTACAATTTTACAACAGCTGCAAAATGCAACCGAATGAAAATTGCGCTCGAATACGATTTTCCTGGTTCAACAGATCTTCGGAGAGCACAATGACATCAGGAACAGATCACGACAGGAAAATAAATTTTGATTCCCTTTTTTTTGCGGAAAAAAAAAGAAAATGCCAACAAATCACAAGAGAAAGAGTGCGATCAACAAATATTTCCGGGGGAAATCGTCGCCAGGCAACCTTCAGCATGCTAAAAGCGAATTCACAATCCATTTCCAAGCAAACATTTCTTTTCTTAAAGCTTCATTCGGCATCTTCCCCTTGGTCATGACGGACTTTAGAGAAGTCAAAAGCTTCCCCAGTTCCTCGCTGGAAAATGTCTAAAACGTCGCTGCAAGTCGTCTCAAAATGAGTCGTCGCGTCGTAGGAACGAGAAACAAATATCTGACTTTCTCTTCCGTCGTCCTTCGGTTTGTAAACGTCACTCACCATGACGAACCTAGAAAAATGACAGAAAATTGAGTCACTGCATCACAACAAAAAGAGTTCCCAAGCTTTACTTTTGTTTGATTGGACCCAGAAGATCCAAACCACACTTTATCTCAGCTTCGGGATTCGCAGTTTCCACCGTAGTGGAGACCATAGCAATAAACCATCCTTTTGGAGCAACACTCGAGCTGTACGAAACTAGCGACACGTAGATGTCGGATTTGCGCCCAACTTGTTTCTGTGGGATGATTATTTGACAAGACGTCGCATCCATCGTGTTCGGAATTGGGTGATCCAACAAGCAGACACATCTCACCACCTGACCAATCTGTAATGATATTAATGTTTCAATATTATGTTTTAATGACACAAATGTTTAATTCCAACACTCGAATCATATTTTCGACCCTGGAATTTCCTCGTTGGGTTGATTTCATTCGATGAAGCCCGATAGTGTCAAAGATGAAATTCCATCTAAACCTGACCTCAGAGAATCATCTACAAATGATCTCTGAATACTGCGGTACAACGAATTTTGTTGAACCCCCAAATTTTGGTAAAGAGTCCAACTGTATTAATACTGTCAAGAATACTTTTCGCAACTCCGCTATGAATCCAGGAACTGAAAGATCATCAAAAATAGTCACCTTGAATCAGTCAACTTACGATTGGAAAAAAATAGAAATAGCGAACAATTGCCATCTACGCTACCAATGTACAGTAAAATCTCGAAAATAACGAAGCCATTGGGACCAGTGAAATAGCTTCGTTGGAATGAAAAATTCGATGTAAAGTGATTTAGTCAACATTGGGACTATTGGACAGGTTGCTGAGAAATACTTCGTTGTAATGATATTCTACTGTACCATGCTGGGCTTCAACCAAAGGCACATGAAATTTGCAAATTCAAATTTTAATACAATTGAATAACAAATCCAATTCGATACGAGAGTTTCTTGGTTTCTGGGATTTCATTTGCAGAAAATGCATGCAAAAGAGAATGAAAATCTGAATTTTTGCATATATTCGATGCTCTCCAAAAATCAAACGTAAAACATTGATGCAGGTGAAGTTCTCAGAATTCAAATCTAGTTTTCCAGCATTAGTAAGTTTTTGAAACACTAAAGACATTACCTCACTACATTACTTCAGGAAATTGTCGACGGGGCGATAGGAATTATCATCTGCGAAGCTACTGTATTCATAATAACCTCGTCATAAAAGGTAAAAATATCATAAATATGAATTCAATTTAATTCATCAGCCAATGAATCGCATCATTTGAAAATCCACTTTTGTTTCTCCTTACCAATTATAAAATTCTAGGTACATTACCTTACAAGAATTTATCAAAATAATAAAATATTCTCACAAAAAATGGTCAAATAAATATACCTAAAAACGTATCTAACCTTTTCAACAAGATCAGGAACATAAGATGGATCGCAATAAACTTGTTTCGCCTTGACGATGTCTTTTCCAGATCTCACACCAACCACTTTACCGTCTTCCATGACAAGTTCATCAACCGCCTTGTCAAGCATATACGTCCCACCATAAATTGCACTGAGTCTGAAAGTGTGAAGGGAATAACTTAGAAAATGATGATATGAAATAGAGTAGTATAGCAGATTATAAGAAGAGCAAAACGTACCTCGCAAATCCTTGCGGAAGTTCTCCCAATCCGAAGAGAGGATACAAGTACGGTGTCTTACCGTATCGCATGAGAGACTCATTGTAAAGCTTAATCCTACGAAATGTAGCCAAAGCTGGCTGATGAATGTACTCATCGTCCCTGAAAATAACGAAATACATGTTTAAGCCAGAAAAGTAGATGAAAGAAGTGCTGTGGAATTCGAGGGATTGAAAAAAGACGTTATCTGACCAAACTATTTTCCGTGAATCCAAGAAACCCAACTGAAATATTTCAATGACCGGGGAAGAAACGTAACTTTCTACCGTCGAAGTACACTTTAAAGGGAAGACATCATGGTAAGACTGATATTCAGTTTAAAAGTGTTCTTTAGTTGCTCAGTTACGATATTGAAGAACTCTTACCTATGAAGGGCAAGTGCATGTCCAGTAAAATCCTGCGTATTTTGGTCCAAATTAAACTTAGCGTAAACCTGAGCCATGGTTGTTTTGGTTGGGTCCATGTCTTTCCATGTACTTGGATCATCTTCTTTGAGATCTTGAACGTAAATCAAAAAACTTCTAAAGCGTCGTTTCTCAAAGATTCCCATGAGATCTGACTGAAGAGCTTCTTTGTCATCCGCAGGAACTTTGGCGATTTTTCCACTTTTGTACACGTAGCTTCCTTCGACAGACTTGAACTCCAGATAGCGCGTAACTCCCGTGTGAATCAGCAGCTTCACCAGTTGACCGTTTGCCATGAGGAACTTGGGGATCAGATCTACGTACCAATCTCTGAGAAAAATCGTCAACAGTCAACACTAACTTCCACATTCAAAAATCATATGATACGAACCTTCCACGTCCATAGAGACTCGCGCTATCACTTTGTCCAAACTTGGCGAAAAGTTCGTCTAATGGATTTAATGATGCAGATTCTCCCCCGTAGTACTTGTTCCGGTCCATGTGCAAGATTTTCTTACCAGAAACAGACAGCATTCCACTGATGATGCATTCCTTCATTCGAAAATAGTCACATTTCAGTCATTCAATAGACAATCGTCAATGGTTCATGCGGCGTCCTACCGTCAAGCCGGTTCCGAGTACAATGCAATCGTATTCCTCATCCATACTGGATAACGATCAACTGAAGGCGCTTCTGGAGTTATCACAAATGATTTACTCGAAAGAAAAAGTAAACATGATGTAAAAATCTTGCATGACACAAATCGATGATCCGGACAAGCCGTCAATTGCAGAATTGTGAACACCGGAATGCTTCACACTTCGCAAGATAATTCAACTATAAATTAAAAATAATTCCACACGTAGCCACCCGAAATGCCATGAATAAAAGTACTTCCAAGAACGCAGGAGAAACCTCCTTCTCTCTGATCAGCTGAGATGACTTAGGAAGTAAACTCGGCAATCACGGTTGATCAGCCGAACACCTGACAACCTGCTGCTTTGGGATATTCGCCATGACTGCAACAGTTGCTAAAGCAAAGAGCGTTACTAAAGCAAAGAGCGTTACTAAATGTCAAAGATTTAAGTTCAATGAACCCAATCTGAGCCCTCTTAATGGAACTGCTCCTATGGAAGGACAGTGCTGTGTTTGCAGTGTTGTACCTCTCCAACTGGACCTTCCCGAAGTCAAGACCCTCTATAATTCAATTTTTTCTAGTCCCAAGGATGCTACCAACATTAATTCCCCCACCCACACCCTGTAAGCTTGTCTTATTGTTTGTGCTTTCCAGAGGTGTCAGACTGTATTTAAACCTGTTAAATTGTAACTTTGCTCCTTGATCTGGAATACGGTATTCAGTTTACTTTCACTTCAATTGATTGATTGGCAATTTAAATTTTTTGGGATTTGAATGCACAATAATAATACACAAATCCTGTCATGCATTTCCAACACATATGCAAAATGCTCTTGCAATGGACTGTGATGCATTGTTTGAATAATTTAAGGTGCACGTTCAACTTTGCTTGACACCATGCAGACGTACATGAAAACCGTCATAAATCAATCGAATCAGGTTACCATGAAAACGGACACCACGACAAACAAATCTAAACCCGCATGAAAATAACAGAGACGCATCATTTCCTGCCACAACTCCTTCTTGGTATTCCAATATGCAAATACACAAATAATCATGTATGCACGCCAAAACAAAACAGAATAACCCATGAGTAACCCATTGCATGACCTATCAAAACCCATACATAAATAAGACGAGCCCCAACGGTTCTCGGAAATCACACGCGTGCAGGATTTGTAAAATTAAGGGAAGAACTTGCTTTTTAAAATCACAATTATTAATCTTCCAGCAACATGCTCAGCAGCTCTGGGTCAGCACACTCAGCTTCTCTAAGGACCTTTTCAGTTCCAAGTTTGGCCAATGTTGGGACACAGTTCAATTTTCTTTCAGTTCTGAATGGGCATTCCGGATTTTTCCACCTTTTTGAAATAAAAAACCAGATACAGATGTACTCACACATAATCAAATCAATAAAATTCAAGAAATTATACTCACTCATGGCGTTCTCCAACTTCAACTATCACCAGTCTGGTTCCTGCTGGAGCATGTTTGAAAGTCTCCTCAATTACTGGTTCAGCTATTGTTGGCAAACAAAGGAAAATTATCAATTACAGTATTTCAAAGATCAACCAAAACAGAACACGAAGACTAGATTAAAAATACAGTACAACAATAAATTCGATTATAAATCAAAGATAGTAAGAATCTGTAGAATAAAAAGTACCCCAAATTCTCTAAATTTCCACAGGGGTTCGTAGTGAAAAATACATGCGTTTACGCAGTCAGAATTAAATATAAATACTGTAATTTTCTATTTTATATCCAAATGACACAACAGCAAGCAAAACTGGAGCATAAAAATCACATTTCCCCCTAGCAGAACTGTCGATTTTGAAGCGTGCAGGACAGTGGAATCTCGTTACAATGAAGCATTTATGTTCTCAAAAAGCTTTTTTATAAACTAAAATTTGTTATAACGAGATTCTCCAGCGACTGAATTCAGTTGATGTCAGGGTTGAATCAAGATCATCATTAACTTTTCTCGCAGGAAAAAAAAAGAAACCTGAATTTCTCAATGTTGTGTACAAATCTGATAATCTTTACAAATGCAGAATTTTTTATTGCTATGTTTTTACGTTGACAAAGTTTGCATAAATATAGAAACAATATTCTTTTAAGCTCCGGGATTCATTTATAAATAATTTTTGTGATGTTCCAGCTTTTCGGTATATACTGAAGGATATTCTCGCTGAAGTTGCATCAAACATGGGCACTTCGAAAATTATTCGCAGCTTCAATTGTACACAGAAAAATTCAAATATGATGCTCAATTTCTTCAAAGATTCGTAGAATTGTGAAAGAAAATTCTGCATGCGCTTGATGATGCTTGCCCCGGGTGATCAAAACTAACCTTTAACACAATCTGGGCACCAACTTTTCCCTTCAGAATCAGTAGACCCAGTGTACAGTACAAAAGTCGTCTTCTTGGCTCCTTCTCCAACACCTTTGTTCCCTTCTTCTTCCAAAAACTTGGCAAAGCTCTCATATCCCTTCAGCTTCATCTTCTCAGTCATGGTGAATTAAAAATACTCCGCAAACTAACTTCGAATACAAAATTTTCAGCACACGTTCCTGTATATTCACACAATAGAAAACAAGACAGTCAAATGAAGCACTGTTTTCGGTTACATAGAAAAAAAAAGAGACACACAAGGAACACATTCTCCGGAGAAATAAAAAAATCGCCGCAAAAAAAGAGACCGTATAAAAAAGGAATTCGCGGAAAAATCTCACAGAAAGATAAAAGCAAATCGAAGACTGGGAAAACCGAGCAGGTCTGAAAAAAAAAATCACACTACATCGCACATCAGCCACTCGTGAAAATCCCTGCCGTTTTGTTCGTCCTCTCTTCTTTTTTCAAATTGCACGATTTCTGCAGGATAAAATGATCCACGATACGATTCGTGAACTAAACTTTCCCCCCATCCAAGCCTCACTATGCATTTCTCTTATCTTCCAATTTTTTTCATTTTTGCACCGGGTAAATTGCACGCGAGTTTCTCGATGAAACAGCCATATTTTTTTTCTGTACATCTCTTGCATTCAAATGCTGGACGGTTCGGCGATTAATGCGCCGTTTTTCCTGATAATTCTGTAAAATCCACATCCTTAGGTAATCATAAAAAAAACTACAAACAAAATGCACAGAGTTTCAATTTAAAAATCAGCAAAAGAATTGCTCAACAAATAAAAACTCAAAATTATAGAAAAGAACAACATTTCGATGATTTACGAAAAATGTTTTCTGCGCGGAATTCGGTAACTAATTAAATGAATCTCCAAACTCGACAATAAAACCTAAACTACATCGAAATAAAAAAAAATTTTTGCACTCAAAAACAAAAAGAAATCTGCGAACTAAATACAAACACACACCTGAGAAAAAAAATCGCTCGGAAATTGTGGATTACAGAATGCAAATGCATAGATAATTCCAGAAAACCGCATATTTCCGTAAAAAGCGTCTCGAATACAGTAAAACTTTGAATCTATCAGTTATACATGAACGAGTCATGTCTCAGAAAATAAATCTCTAGCTTTCGGTAGCATAAAAAGAAATCATTTTTCAAAATGAAACAATTAATTTCTTTTGTACCCCGCATTATACTACGGTACCATCATGAAAACTACGAATGACAACGAACAGAATAGCTGACCAAATGATCTAGGATTTTGAATAAGAAATAATTCGACGCTATTCCAAAACCCGTCATTGCGTGAAAATTGAATTTAGAACATCAAGGTCGCGATGATTTAAAAAATGAACTCGTACTTCGGCCTTCAGAAGAGAATGACAAAACCTGTTAGAAGGAAATCCATGCTTCAAAGAGAGAGAAGAAAAAACAGCTCCAAGATCAGCAATCTCTTCCTAGATTCGACTTTCAGAGAGCAAAAACACGTCTTCGCATGGCAAATTTAAAATGAAAAACCTACTCGCACCGTCACACGTGATAATGTTCATAATCTTTCAAAAATTCAAAAAACCTGGAGTCTTCTTCTCTGTTTTCACCCCGGTCTCACTCCGTTTGAATCATGTGTTACATAACGTTAGTATAGTAGAGTACAGTATAGCAAGGCAAAAGTCTTTTTCTTTCCACTTTTCAAGCATCATTACTGGCTCTTCCGGGAGCGGACAAAATTTCCTCCAAATTGGCCATAACTTCGTCCACGTCAGACATTCCAAACGTCATTGGTGGCTTGAATTTTAGCACATTGGCGTAAGGTCCGTCCAGACTCAGCAAAATGCCACGATCTCGCATCTCGTTCAGAATCTCCTCGCATCTTTTCCTAGAAAATATGACAAAGGATTACAAGAACGGCTTCTTTACTTTTGAAATCAAGCGCGGAACAGCCAATGCTGAATATCACGGTAACTTGATTAGTTTTCTTCACATTTTTTTTAATCTACTTTCTTCACAAGACAAAAATAAATTTTGCCAATTTTCTTGATCCACGAATTCAACCAACAAAACAAATTTCAATCTTGCCATTTCCTTCTCAGAACGTGGGATTGTCACTTTTCGAAGTTCAGTACTGATTCAGGTACACACAGGAAAAGGTCGGGGTTATTTTTTCGCTACATGTCGTCTCACTTGATTTTAAAAATGAATTCTTGGAACAACACCGAATTTTTTTAGTCCTTGGTGATGCACTAGTGGGTCCATTTTTCCGCATTTTTCATCAACGGTTGGGAAAATTGAGGGATTTGAAATACTTCAAAAGCAGTAAATGATTTTGACAATCCTCAGGAACGACCTGATCAAAGATATATCAAAATATCACTCTAAATCTAAGAATATCAGATTCCGAGGGGGAATGAGGAAGAAAGCCTTTGCATCTGTCTTCGACTTACTTCAAGCCTACGCATCGTATCATTCATTTCGTATACAGACTCTCTCAGTATCTCACGTTTAAAATTGGGCAACGAACCTTTCCAAGGGTTCCCGGGTCACGGGGTCCTTGACCAAGTCAATGCCGACAAAAAGACCGACACCCCGAACGTCGCCGATTATGTGCGTGTGCTTCTGCTGGATTTCCGTCGCTCGTTTCATCAAATAGCCTCCGACTGTGGCAGCATTTTCCCGCAGCTTCTCTTCGTCAATGATTTTCAAAACTTCCAGTCCCACCATACAAGACACAGGGTTCCCTCCGTACTGGAAAAAATTGAATTTACATTTAAAAAAAATCAGTTTTCATCACATTACAACAGAAGAAAATTCGCCATTCCCTCTTCGCCATCACAACGGTGTCGCTCATTTTTCGCCTAGTCCTAATTGGGTAGATTTTCAGTTGTACTAAATCACAATTAAACTATCCCCAACCTCAAAGTTTATCATCTTAAACAGATGAACTTGGTAAAGTAAATTCCTCCACATTAAAACTTTATTCGTCTCAATATGAGGGTTGTTCCACTTTTGCTTGTCCTTGCTTATTTCTAGAGTAGGTACCACCGTGAAAAAATTATATGATGTAGCCCATGCACATTATTAAATCCTTTCTTTTTGAAACATGTACAGTATGAACCCTACCCGGGGGAGAACATATATCCTGCCTAGGTAACCCATACTCCAGTTTATTTTTCATTTAAACTGAAACATCAATTTTAGAATCCAGTGAGTGTCTTTCCTGGCATTGGAGTGCAGTACGCTAGATTCAGTACTTTTTTCATTGGTTTCGAAAATTGGGAATGGGTTGCCATTGCTGACCAGCACGGAGAAATTGCTGCCGATTATTATGAAATATTGGTCCCAGACTTCTTTTTAGCGTTTTTCTTGAAAATTACGCATGACCTCCTTCACTCATGATCTTCTACTTCTGTAATGTACTCTATACTAACATGTCGCCTAGTTTATACTGGTTAATTTCAACTAAAAATCCTTTCAATAGGCTAGGATAATCAAACATTAGAACAATTTCTGTACCATTATTCTCCCGAAGGACAGATAACATTCGTTGTCTTGTCAGTATCATTGGAGAGAAAGTGAGAGTCAATCTATGGAAAAAGGTCAACCTCGTAGAAAGTATATAAGTATTGAGGAACCAATTATTTTTGTGGCTACACCATGTTAATTAGAGTAGCACAATTAGATAAGCACAAGTGTGCTGCAGTCGGACTCAATCGATGATAGGATATCAATAGACGCACTGTGAATGCATTAAAAATTAATTGGAACAACAAATCACAGTACTGTATACTGCAGACAGGATTCAAAAATATTTCTTTACAACTGTGCCACGGGATTCTCGTATAAAATCAGCGTAGTTACGCTTTTCACGCGTGATAATGCTTCGATGATTACTACTAATTACAGGAAAGTTTCAGGTCTGATCGCGGTATTTTGAGTGAGCCCAAAGTGATTCAAGCGACACCTGCCCAAAAAATTCAACAACAGAAAAAATAAAGCCTCGAAACGCATTAAAAATAAATAAAAAAGGAAAGCGAAAAAAAGGTCTAACAGTGTTGAAGAATTCAATTCCAGTGGAGGCGAATGAAGCAGCAATTTCCTTGGTTGTGATCACAGCAGCGATCGGGAATCCGTTCCCCATGGGTTTTCCCACCGTCACGATATCCGGAACGACCCCAGCATTCTCGAACCCCCACCAATGTTTGCCCATTCTTCCGAACCCAACTTGAACCTCGTCCGCTATACACACTCCTCCGAACTCTCTTACAGTCCTGAAAAAAATAAATAAATTGATAACCTGAAGTAATTCATGAAGCTACTTGAAAGAATTAAAACTCAAAAATACTGTACCTCATTCATCTTACTGTTCCGTAGTAAAGATTATTTATGCAAAAAAATATTCCATGAAAACTCCTGCTGTGAGATTTTCAAAATATTTTCAACTCCAACGAAAGGCTCATTATGAAAGCGATTCCGCTATTCAGGAATTAAAATTGTAAGAATTTACGGTAAAGGTAACGAGAAAAAAGTCAGCTTTTCTACATAAACAGAATCAGTCACATTTCGAACATGGGACTGATCAAAGTTGACTATAGGTACTTCCTAAAAATAACGATTCATTTGCCTCAAGAGTTCATGAAAATATGTTGCTTAATATCTGAATATTCAATTTTTGGTTTAAAAAATCAAAACCAATTTCGCTCACTAAAGCAGAAAATTTTCCAATTTTCCCGATCATCCATCCGGAGAATTTCGAAAAATACAGTAAAAAAAATAGACGGCTTTTCGCAACAAGAAACACACGCTCCTTCACATAGTTGATTACCAATGCGCCTGAAACTGACAAAAAAGAACGGCAAACAATGTTTATAAAAAGAACGCTGTTAATTTAAAATTCATTCTCACACTGAAGTCTGCGCAGAATGCTGTAAACTTCTACCACAAATAGAATATAGTTATCACGCAAGAAATGACGATGAAATGATTTGCTGTGGTTCTGAGATCAAAGACTTCAAACGACTCAAGTCCAGAAATTATCGTCTATGAATCGAAATACAAGAAAATCTCAATTTAATTTAATTAGTTCATTGACCCGTTAATCGCGGGAACGCAAGGGGAAAAAATCAACATTCCAATTTATAAATATATCCGTCCAGGGGTGTTGGAAAACTTTCTTGCGCAGTGAAAAAAATTGAAGCGTTAATAATGAAAATTACAGTACTTGATTTTCTGCATTAAAAAAACTAAATGGAGAAGGAAGCAAAAATATACGGAAGGTTCAAAGCGTTCCACATAAACTTTTTCCATCTAATATCGAATAAAGAAACATGAAATTACATCAAAGCACAGCAACTTCTCGAAAACCCTCCACTTCCTGACCAGATACTGTACAGTTTCAGTACAATACTGTACTTTCAGACTCAACATTTTATCATCAAAAACGATTCATTCCTCTTTTTTTTCCCCGCATCTCATTCCATTCCTAAATGGCTTCCATATTTTTCCATTCAAGGTTCATATTTCCATCAGCAAAATCAAAGCAGTGATATTGAGGACGCGCGTTTCTTATGCAAACCGTTATCAAAGTAATGAATACATATCGACCAGAAAATCTGTCTCGCTTCCTGCTTTTCGGGGGAATCGTGATGTCTTTGCCTTCACGCATATACTCGTGTCAGCTATGCGTCAATGGCAACACACGTTTCCACTGGGAGTGGGACTGACCTAAATTCCAAGAATCACGAAATATCCGCCATTCGATGAATTTCTACTTGCGTCAAAAGGAGCATACACTTCGAAGAATCGCAAATAATGGTTCCTACGAAATATCTAAAACACATGGTCGCTAGGCGAATTACTGTAAACGTTGAATACTTCAAGAAGCGCAAGCATTTTCTCAAGTACATAACAATACTAAAAATTCTCGAAAATGTGACATGAAGTCAGAAACTCCCAAAGAAGACTGACAAAGNATGAAGCAGCAATTTCCTTGGTTGTGATCACAGCAGCGATCGGGAATCCGTTCCCCATGGGTTTTCCCACCGTCACGATATCCGGAACGACCCCAGCATTCTCGAACCCCCACCAATGTTTGCCCATCCTTCCGAACCCAACTTGAACCTCGTCCGCTATGCACACGCCTCCGAACTCTCTTACAGTCCTGAAAAAAATAAATTGATAACCTGAAGTAATTCATGAAGCTACTTGAAAGAATTAAAACTCAAAAATACTGTACCTCATTCATCTTACTGTTCCGTAGTAAAGATTATTCATGCAAAAATATTTTCCATGAAAACTCCTGCTGTGAGATTTTCAAAATTTTTTCAACTCCAACGAAAGGCTCATTATGAAAGCGATTCCGTTATTCAGGAATTAAAATTGTAAGAATTTACGGTAAAGGTAACGAGAAAAAAGTCAGCTTTTCTACATAAACAGAATCAGTCATATTTCGAACATGGGAGATGGGACTGATCAAAGTTGACTATAGGTACTTCCTAAGGATAACGATTCATTTGCCTCAAGAGTTCATGAAAATATGTTGCTTAATCTCTGAATATTCAATTTTTGGTTTAAAAAATCAAAACCAATTTCGCTCACTAAAGCAGAAAATTTTCCAATTTTCCCGATCATCCATCCGGAGAATTTCGAAAAATACAGTTTAAAAAATAGAGGGCTTTTCGCAACAAGAAACACACGCTCCTTCACATAATTGATTACCAATGCGCCAAAAACTGACGAAAAATAAAACGGCAAACAATGTTTACAAAAAGAACGCTGTTAATTTAAAATTTATTCTCACACTGAAGTCTGCGCCGAATGCTGTAAACTTCTACCACAAATAGAATATAGTTATCACGCAAGAATTGACGATGAAATGATTTGCTGTGGTTCTGAGATCAAAGACTTCAAACGACTCAACTCCAGAAATTATCGTCTATGAATCGAAATACAAGAAAATCTCATAATTTAATTTAATTAGTTCATTGATCCGTTAATCGCGGGAACGCAAGGGGAAAAAATCAACATTCCAATTTATAAATACTGTATATCCGTCCAGGGGTGTTGGAAAACTTTCTTGCGCAGTGAAAAAAATTGAAGCGTTAATGATAAAAATTACAGTACTTGATTTTCTGCATTAAAAAACTAAATTGAGAAGGAAGCAAAAATATACGGAAGGTTCAAAGCGTTCCACATAAACTTTTTCCATCTAATATCGAATAAAGAAACATCAAAGCACAGCAACTTCTCGAAAACCCTCCACTTCCTGACCAGATACTGTACAGTTTCAGTACAATACTGTACTTTCAAACTCAACATTTTATCATCAAAAACGATTCATTCCTCTTTTTTTTCCCCGCATCTCATTCCATTCCTAAATGGCTTCCATTTTTTTCCATTCAAGGTTCATATTTCCATCAGCAAAATCAAAGCAGTGATATTGAGGACGCGCGTTTCTTATGCAAACCGTTATCAAAGTAATGAATACATATCGACCAGAAAATCTGTCTCGCTTCCTGCTTTTCGGGGGAATCGTGATGTCTTTGCCTTCACGCATATACTCGTGTCAGCTATGCGTCAATGGCAACACACGTTTCCACTGGGAGTGGGACTGACCTAAATTCCAAGAATCACGAAATATCCGCCATTCGATGAATTGCTACTTGCGTCAAAAGGAGCATACACTTCGAAGAATCGCAAATAATGGTTCCTACGAAATATCTAAAACACATGGTCGCTAGGCGAATTACTGTAAACGTTGAATACTTCAAGAAGCGCAAGCATTTTCTCAAGTACATAACAATACTAAAAATTCTCGAAAATGTGACATGAAGTCAGAAACTCCCGAAGAAGACTGACAAAGTTGACTTTTTAGCGCAAAATATGATGGATAAAACATAAAATACAGTGAGACCCCCACATGCGAACACCTCGACCTGCGGACAATTCGACATAGGGACATTTATTTTATCATAAAAATGTATAAAAATGGCCCAACATGAGGACACTGACTCAACATAGGGACATTTTGTTATAAAATTCAAATACATTTCAGTCCAAAAATGTTCTTTGTCTATAAAGGTTGGGATTTTAACTACATTCTTTTCTTCTTGGGAATTTCTCTCACCAATTCACCATTCATTTTGCTAATTTGAAGAAATTACCTCCAGCAGAGAGGGAGTTCCTTTGTCTCTCTTTTTCACTTGAATGTTTTTCTCAACAGAGAATGCCAACAAGAAGTACTGTAAAAAGGTATCAGTATTAAATCCCCAAATGCCCATACATGTACTGTATTGTGTTGAAATATATTGATTGGAATCAATTTAAATTGGGAGACAATTTTTATTTTCATGGAATTACGTTGAGTATTTTGAACATAAAACACCAATTAAAAATTATATAATGTAAGTCTAAGGGAAAATGAGACTCGACTTAGGGACATTTTGACTTGGGGACACTCTTGATGCACCATTACGTCCGCATCTCGGGTCTCACTTACAGTTTCGCATGCTGATGCAGACTTGGAATCACAAAAAGTCACCAAACGCTTTCTCGCATTGTAAATTTTCTGAATTTAGTTGCGATCATGTTTCGCGCTTATTCTCAGCATTACACATTCATTCGAGGAGTTGGGATATATTAATTGTTCCAGCAAGTTCATAATTTCAAAATCCCAAGTGAACTTAACAATCGAATTTAATTAAATATGAGTTTTCCCTTCTCTTGTTTCAAAACTTTGTGAAATTCAGCAAAAGCTTATCAAGATCACTTGAATTCAACAGTAATCAATTTTGAACTCACATATTCAAGCGGTAAATAAAACATAACGATCAGTTATCGTGTGCTTCTCTATTTTATGAGTTTCTGGATCCCCAAAAAAATTAATTTATAATGTAACCTCGACCGAAATCCTGTTTCGCATTACAAAAAATTCCACATAACAAAAAGCATCGAGGAAAGAGATCAGTTCCATTATGCGGATGGATACCCACTTTCCTGTACTGATGTACAATCCATGAAATCAAAATTCAAAAACGCTTCCCAAGTCCCGCTTTCCAACAATAGTACTTACTCATAAACTCCTTGGAGATATCCCTGGGGATAAACGATTTGCCCGCCGCAACTCTGCAGACTTTCCGCAATGAAAACCCCGGCCTTTCGCCCTCTGTCTCTCAAACTCTCGCACACTTTTCTCACTTCGTCCACGTAGGCGTCCTTGGCCTCTTGTCGAGACTCGTCGTCGTAAGCCCGATGTTTGCCTCGGTACACGTCGGGACACGGGACCACGTGGACGAAACTCGGCTTCTGGTCCATGTTGTTCAAGTAAATTTTCTGAATTTAGTTGCGATCATGTTTCGCGCTTATTCTCAGCATTACACATTCATTCGAGGAGTTGGGATATATTAATTGTTCCAGCAAGTTCATAATTTCAAAATCCCAAGTGAACTTAGCAATCGAATTTAATTAAATATGAGTTTTCCCTTCTCTTGTTTTAAAATTTGTGAAATTCACAATATCACTGAAATTCAACAGTAATCAATTTGTAATTTACATATTCACGCGGTAAATTAAACATAACAATCAGTTATCGTGTGCCTCTCTATTTGATGAGTTTCTGGATCCCCAAAAAATTAATTTATAATGTAACCTCGACCGAAATCCTGTTTCGCATTACAAAGAATTCCACATGACAAAAAGCATCGAGGAAAGAGATCAGTTTCATTATGCAGATGGATACCCACTTTCCTGTACTGATGTACAATCCATGAAATCAAAATTCAAAAAAGCTTCCCAAGTCCTGTTTTCCAACAATAGTACTTACTCATAAACTCCTTGGAGATATCCCTGGGGATAAACGATTTGCCCGCCGCAACTCTGCAGACTTTCCGCAATGAAAACCCCGGCCTTTCGTCCTCTGTCTCTCAAACTCTCGCACACTTTTCTTTGAAGCAGGTGCATCCGCAGGAACCGGAGAACAGCTCTGAGCAGCAGCATTCGGGCTACAAACGGAGCCATGTGCAGCCCTGTGCCCTGGTGCACCTGCTTTGAGCCGAAGACCAGGTACAACAAGTTCTGTTTCCACTTGTAAGGACTGATTTCCCAAGCACTCATCACGTGTCCGTGATACGCACTAAACACGAAAAAAATAAAAATTTATTCTACTGTACTCGTCACGGCTCTCCTTACTGGGACTACAATGAAACTAATCTCACTAGAGTCACATCTCTCCGAATCAAATTTCAAGAAAAAAATACAGAGAGGGAAACAAGCCTTTTTATCGTGGAGAAGATAGAAGAATTCCAGGAAATTGTAAATGGTGATATTCTGGGCCTTAAATTGCTTCTTAAATTCGTTGAAAGGATGCTGAGACAGGGGTTCATTTGCCCAATTAGTTCTTCCCTTCTTTTCAAAACATATCCTCATCTTTTCCCCTGTCGCTCTGAAAGGATATTCGAAGTTAGGGGAGGTTTGAGATGAAAAAAGCCTTAGAGATAAAGACGTTGTTTAATACAGTACATTGTTCCTAAGGGAATTCAGAGGGGACTTGAAAAAAAAATAAAGCTGAGTCCCTCAAAGCAAAAAAGCTCCAACTTGACATGGAGCGTTGCTTAAAGTATTACTACGTAAGCAGTAAACAAAAAGGAACAGGGTCGTCAAGGAGGTATCCTTTGTAAAGTATTACTATAAATTTCAAGTAATTTTTACCAAGCTAAATTTTAGCTTAAATATCACAAAAAATTCGATTCCCAGTTCCCAGGAATGGACCGTGAAGAAAATGGGAAAAATGTAACGTGTATATCAAGTGAAACGGACGGATTAAGTCCATCAATCAATTCCGGAATCAAAGAAAATACATTACAGACAAGTTCTTGGCAGTCCTTCAAATTTATCTAGCGAAAGAACGTCAAAACCCGTTTCTTTCAGCGCATGAGCTTTCGCAGAAAAAACTTTCCACAGAAATATTCTCTCGAAAAATTGCAGTTCAAGGTTTTCGTTACAACAGATTATCCCACAAAACAAACATAATCTGTCCAAAAAGGGCATTCAGATAAAACTGTTTTTTTTTATTCCATCAGTACAGTTCATTAATATTTTTTCCGACATAAACATTCCAGCCATTTTTTTGAGAACTACACAAACGCACAGTAATTTCTGCAAGTAAATTCCGAATCAATTCCTATTTCTTACTGAATGATGTGAACAAATGTTATGGATTGGCATGAAGAATAATTAAGATGGTTATCTGAATTAGCGTTTTCCGCATTCCTGGAATGAATGAAATTATTCTTTGGACAATTAACTGTGCAACAAGCGTTACTTCATACGAACCTTCAACTTAATCATCCATTTCAAAAAAGAGAAATTAAACTTCAACCATAATATAAATAAAAGAACCTCAGCTGAAATATTTCGTTCCTTTTCCGAAAAATAGCAATTAAAATGAAAAAGGAGGCGATTAAAAAAAAAACTCACTGTTCAAGGGTAATAGTTTCCTGGCTCCCCGAATGAGTTCTAGCCAATCGAAGCGCCAAATCCGTGGCCTCGGACCCAGAATTGGCAAAGTAAACAGTGGACAAAGACTCGGGCAAAATCGAGCACAGTTTCTGCAGGTACATCGCCATCGGCTCATACAAATACCGGGAATTCGTGTTCAGGTTCATGAGCTGGTTGAAGGCCGCCTGAGCGATTCTCGGGTGCGAATGTCCAACTTCAATTTAAAAAAAAAAATCAGTAACTATCCACTGAAAATCATAAATCAAAAATGTCCTCTCGACAGCGCGATAAAAAAACAAAGGCATTCCAACTCTATCGATTGCGTTTTTTGTTTTCAAGAAGAAAAAAAAAAGCTTTCACCAGCCGTCAAGTTAATTTATCAATCATTGGGAACATTTTCGACACCTCGTGACATTCCTCGTAATGATTCTTTTTTTTCAGGGACAGAGAAAACCACAAGGAGCAAACGTTAGAAAAAAACTTTACTTTCATCACGGTTCCTTTTTTCGATAAAAAAATAAAATCAGTTCAAATTATATAAATACTGTACTGTATATTAAATGACCCGAGGAGTATATTTTACACGATTCGTCGCACATTTTTGAATCCCATCATGAACGCTAATCAAGGACAACAAAAAAAGCACCTAGAAAAGAGCAGAAATCAAGTAATGTGCGTCTTGACTTTGAGTAAATGTTGCGTTCATAATTTATACACCCTCTCATTAAATAATCAACAACAAAAACCAATGGAATGAAAACTAACCGTGACACACATTGTTGATGCAATCGATGTACCGTTTACCGTCGCACGTGTACATATAGTGGTCCTTCGCTCGCACGATATTGAGCGGGTCATGGCTGAAGAAAATTTGGCACGCAGGCCTGCAAAAAAACAAAACAAAAACGAATGACATTTTAGCTAATGTCACGAAAATTTTCACATCACGAACGAGGAATTCCGCGGAAAAATGACTTCGGATAAATGAACTAGGGCGAGTTCAAATCAAGTTTACTCGTAACGGTATGACCTGGATTCAAAAAAAGGGAATTCTCCGAAAATCAGCAAAATTGATTTGACGACTAATCCATTCATGAGAATGCGACCTTGAACAGTCATCTAAAATTCAATCACAAGTTTAGCTTCGGATGGTTGATCAATTTTTAAATTAACGCTGTTCCCCCGCACAGAAAACTGCGAAGGGAAATAATTACTTGCTAAAATCAAACAGTACCCAGGAGTACTGTACTTTTATTTGTTTCGAAAGAAAAAACTTTAACGTAAAATAACCGCAACCTACATAATATGGACACAGCATTGCGTAGAAAAATTAGGAGAATAAGACATCAGTAATTCGTTCTTTACAAACGCACTGGGGCTTATTTCCAGCTCCATATCAATTACAGTAATTTTAAAACTGTAAATGAATACCGTTTGTATCACCGTATTCTGATATTAAAGTAATCTTCCTTTCAAAAATTAAACCAATCCTCGATCAATAAATCACGACTCATCAACATTCCAAGTNTTCGACTCAGGGAGTTTCGTTTTTTCGAGGTTGAACTGTACCTCGCAACGAATTTCATAATGATGCATTCGTCATTTGTTTTTCCTTGTCCCAGCAGTTCCTCCATAGGAAACATTTCATAATGATATAATTTCAAGTAATTTTTACCAAGCTAAATTTTAGCTTAAATATCACAAAAAATTTGATTCCCAGTTCCTAGAAATGGACCGTGAAGAAAATGGGAAAAATGTAATGTGTATATCAAGTGAAACGGACGGATTAAGTCCATCAATCAATTCCGGAATCAAAGAAAATACATTACAGACAAGTTCTTGGCAGTCCTTCAAATTTATCTAGCCAAAGAACGTCAAAACCCGTTTCTTTCAGCGCATGAGCTTTCGCAGAAAAAACTTTCCACAAAAATATTCTCTCGTAAAATTGCAGTTCAAGGTTTTCATTACAACAGATTATCCCACAAAACAAAACATAATCGGTCCAAAAAGGGCGTTCGGATAACACTTTTTTTTTATTCCATCAGTACAGCTGATAAATATTTTCTCCGACGTTAACATTCCAGTCATTTTTTGAGAACTACACAAACGCACAGTAATATCTGCAAGTAAATTCCGAATAAATTCCCATTTCATACTCAACGATGTGAACAAATGCTATGGATTTGCAAGAAGAATAATTAAGATGGTTATCTTAAATAGCGTTTTCCGCATTCCTGGAATGATTGAAATTATTCTTCGGACAATTAAATGTGCAACAAGCGTCACTTCATATACGAACCTTCAACTTCATCATCCATTTCAAAAAAGAGAAATTAAACTTCAACCATAATATAAATAAAAGAACCACAGCTGAAACATTTCGTTCCTTTTCCAAAAAATATCAGCAATTAAAATAAAAAAGTAGGCAAAAAAAAAAAACCTCACTGTTCAAGGGTAATAGTTTCCTGGCTCCCCGAATGAGTTCTAGCCAATCGAAGCGCCAAATCCGTGGCCTCGGACCCGGAATTGGCAAAGTAAACAGTGGACAAAGACTCGGGCAAAATCGAGCACAGTTTCTGCAGGTACATCGCCATCGGCTCATACAAATACCGGGAATTCGTGTTCAGGTTCATGAGCTGGTTGAAGGCCGCCTGAGCGATTCTCGGGTGCGAATGTCCAACTTTAATTTTAAAAAAATCAGGAATTATCCACTGAAAATCATAAATCAAAAATGTCCTCTCAACTGCGCGATAAAAAAAACAAAGGCATTCCAACTCTATCGATTGCCTTTTTTTACAAGAAGAAAAAAAATGCTTTCACCAGCCGTCAAGTTAATTTATCAATCCTTGGGAACATTTCGGACACCTCGTGACATTCCTCATAATACTGTAATTCTTTTTTTCAGGGACAGAGATAACCACAAGGAGCAAACGTTAGAAAATAACTTTACTTTCATCACGGTTCCTTTTTTCGATAAAAAATAAAATCAGTTCAAATTATATAAATACTGTACTGTACTGTATATTAAATGACCCGAGGAGTATATTTTACACGATTCGTCGCACATTTTTGAATCCCATCATGAACGCTAATCATGGACAAAAAAAGCATCTCGACAAGAGCATAAATCAAGTAATGTGCGTCTTGACTTTGAGTAAATGTTGCGCTCATAATTCTATGTGGGAGAGTAATTTATTAGTTGTTGTTTTTGGTTACCTTACTTTTGATTGGCACTGTGTGTAACAACTACGTTAGCTACATGGCAAATGGCAGCGTGCACATGTATATCACCAGGAAGCGAGCCACGATATTGAGCGGGTCATGGCTGAAGAAAATTTGGCACGCAGGCCTGCAAAAAAACAAAACAAAAACGAATGACATTTTAGCTAATGTCACGAAAATTTTCACATCACGAACGAGGAATTCCGCGGAAAAATGACTTCGGATAAATGAACTAGGGCGAGTTCAAATCAAGTTTACTCGTAACGGTATGACCTGGATTCAAAAAAAGGGAATTCTCCGAAAATCAGCAAAATTGATTTGACGACTAATCCATTCATGAGAATGCGACCTTGAACAGTCATCTAAAATTCAATCACAAGTTTAGCTTCGGATGGTTGATCAATTTTTAAATTAACGCTGTTCCCCCGCACAGAAAACTGCGAAGGGAAATAATTACTTGCTAAAATCAAACAGTACCCAGGAGTACTGTACTTTTATTTGTTTCGAAAGAAAAAACTTTAACGTAAAATAACCGCAACCTACATAATATGGACACAGCATTGCGTAGAAAAATTAGGAGAATAAGACATCAGTAATTCGTTCTTTACAAACGCACTGGGGCTTATTTCCAGCTCCATATCAATTACAGTAATTTTAAAACTGTAAATGAATACCGTTTGTATCACCGTATTCTGATATTAAAGTAATCTTCCTTTCAAAAATTAAACCAATCCTCGATCAATAAATCACGACTCATCAACATTCCAAGTTAGGTCAAATGATCTTCCCTACATCTCACATTGAAAAAAAAATTTTTTTTCACGATTACAGTAAATTATATGTTCTACTGGGAACACCTAAGTTCAACACCGTCGCAGAAATGGAATACTTGGAAAAAAAAAAAAAACTCCACTCAATCCCAATTCACACTTTTTTTTACTCACCCCAGATTCGAAGCCCGAACGGCAAGAATGGCACCTTTGTCCATAACGGAACTCTTCCACTCAAACACGGGTAAATCAACTTGAAAAGTGCTTGAATCCCTGTGAAATTGACACACAGACACACAACAAAATAAAAAGCTTCAGACAGGGAAGAACAACTGGGCAACACAAAAAGGGGGTTTCTCTTCAGTCCCGTCGCTCTCACTCAACGAATATATACTTCCCGATCCACAGAGGAAAAAAAGAAAGAAAAATTCACGTGTCCAGGGTCAGGAGGCTGCTAGCATCGTCCGTATTTTGGGTACAACAATTTCTTCAGAAAACTACAATCCTGTAAATGGTTCAATATTTAAGATATAAAAACATTGAATATTTGAACTAACCTGGCCTAATTAACCTAACCTAACCTACCCCACCCCAAAAACCCAATCCTAAACTAAACTAACCTAAAACATAACTAATCTCAACTACTCAAAAAAGCCATGAATCAAATAAATTTGCTGAGTTTACAAAACTAAAATGAATTCAGATATTCTATAATGAGTATGCGCAGACATTGGCATAGGAAGGCAGGATGTCCCCCTCACCAACAATTTTGCAAATGAAGTGGAGGTGAGCTGAGCAGGCGCAGAAAGTTGACCACAAAGGACCCCTGGTTCTTTTTTTCCGCCCCAAGGACGAGCCCTCAGCAGTGGATAGATGCACCAAATCTCCGCTCAACAATGGATGACGCAATCACAGAAAACCCTTTCAGCGGGAAAAACAGAGATGGATTCCGTAGTACGAACTGCTGGACGAAACATCAACTCTGTTGTGCACACCAACAAGGATGATGTCCCACTGAACCGCAACCACCAACAGAACAACTCTGAGCGGGTTTCCGGAGCAGATAGAGATACATATCAAAAATCCGCTTCTTCTCGGGCGAGTGAGTGAAAGATGCCTGCGGAGAATTCAATCATAGGCATCAGATAAAAAAGCACACGCCTTCGACACGCAGCCACACACACACACAAACGAAACGCACTGTGTATGTGTAGAAGAACACACGGACTATTCCACAGGAACCCACGACCACGTTGGCATCATCATCAGGTACACACGGCAACCAGACACCCGGGTTCGAAAAATCATCCGGGAGGGGCGCATGACTACTGAAGACACCAGGCCCGCGCCCGCATTCTGGGGGGGGGCACCAACACATAAAAATAAAAAAAGGCGCCACGCGAGGAACCACTACTACCTGTGGATCATTATCAGGTAGAAAGAAAAAAGGCAAATCTTCACGTCAATCATAAAAATTCTCTTATCCTCTTCTTCCTTCACAGCACGGAAATAATGAACACAATGCTTATCTTTTGTCATACCTCCCATCTGCCATGCATGCCAGGTCCAGAGACCAAGTCATTAAATACAGTCAAACCCTCTTAAACCGCCCACCAATGAACTGCCACCCTCACCTCCTGCTATATTTTTACCCCAAACAGATCTCCCCAATGTTAAAAGGATGAGGAACCTCAGTAGACCACCATCCCCCAACAATTTTCTGGCCACAAATAGGCACCTGCCCTTGTTTTTTTTAGCCCCTTTCAACCGCCATTTTGGAGAGAGATTAAATTTTAAAATACGAACAGAATGCAATGGCTGAAAAATTAATAGGGAATGGATGCAATATTTCCTACAAAATTATACAAGAACACAAACAAAAATGCACGAGAAGTCATATACAGTATTAATGTAAAGATATTCTTTTTATATCCATCATGCTTTTTCTGAATTTTTTTTCCTGTAGTAATTTTTGCTGTTCCAAATTTCGAAATGGTCATCCAAAACTGTGACAATGTGATCAGTATGTGGCCAACATTCAAAATTGTTTCATGTGCGTAAGGTACTCAAGAAAAATTGATGAATTAATTAATCTATCTATCTATTGAGCATATTTCATGCCTCAGCATATCTGACAAAAAACAAACATTTTTGCAGCTGTACGTAACCATGAGGTTAAGCTAAGCAAATCAGTTTTGTTAGGTGCTAGATCCAATTATACTAGGTGTTGGACTTTTTTATTGAGCTGTGAATATTTAATTTTTGGCACCAGTTAAGGTCAATTTCTATTTGTGGTGAATAGAAGAAAATGCCCATGCACACTCAGCTAAAAAGAACCAACTGAATATCAGTACATATCCCTGACCTGATCTACATGCAATCTCTCATGATCCAGTCTCACAGAAGATAGTTTTAAATCAGTTCGTCAATTACTCAAATGCATTCGATTACGGTATTTAATAAAGCTGATTTCCTAGAATAACTGATGCATGTCTCCATTTTTGAGAACACAGAAATAAAATTCCCCACAGATTACGTTTGTCTCGTTACGTTTACGACAGTCAAATTAAAAGTTGAGTTTATTTCGTCGGCATTTTTTCAGGCAGTCATGCGTCAAAAACACAGAAAATACAAGGGTTCCACGAGTTTAGAAAAGGGCAACACCAAAAGGGTTTTTTGCACTCATCCCGTCAACCCCCATATCTTGAACTCAATGATGCACACGTCTTCGATGCAGAATGCATAATCTGTGCAGGGCCAAGCCTCCTTCAAACAAGATCTCTGAATTTGGTTTGGCCAAACAAAATGCAAAAATGCCCTGAACGTCTCGCATGACCTCATGAATAATAAAGGGATAATGTACTGCGTTTCAGGATTTGGTTAGCCTCTATATATACCGACTTCAACCAGGAAGACAAGTGACAATGTTCTGCAAGCAACTGCTCAAAAACTAGTGAAATTCACAGAATTTTCGTTTTCCCTTTGAAATGTCATTTAAAAACTTAGAGCGCGATAACAGATGCGAAGAGAAATGAAACGTAAAATTTTAGATAAATTACGCAACTCATTGAAAAAATTGAATTCAGGCGCAATCAAAATTTAAAATTTCGATCATTTTATTTTTGGAATATCGCAATTTTTAGTCACAAAATGACAAAAATGAGGTGCGTGTTTTAAGTAGTATCAATTACTGTATACCGTATATATCGTCGCAACATGAAGTAATATTGTCGCAACATGAAGCAACTGAGACGCATTAAAAATCATTCGTGACAACAACTGATTTGTTACATGAAGACTTGAATTACAGTGCGACTCCCGTGCAGAAAAATAAACGGTCAAAAACAAGTTTTGGTTTAACGGGATTCTAGTGAATAGTATCAAACCAAATCTGTCCGCTGGTTACACCATTCACAGGGAATCAAAGCCACACACACATAAACTCTAAAACCGGGAAGTCGGCTCTTGGATAATCCCGCACAGGTGGATAAGGAATCGTGGGAAGATGAATTCACCGACTGGGAACTTCGAGACTTGAGTAGGAAAATCACACTTCCATGCGACCGAACAATTTCACAAGGAACTTTTATCTTCCGCCGCCGTTTTTCCCGCAACAACGCAATCCCGCGAAGTGCGATAACATTCCGGAATTCACACAGTGAAATTGAAAATTGCGAGGCAATCTTGCAATGCAATTCGATTGCAGTACACAACTCCGGAGGAAGAACACATCAATACAGTAATACACATTTTCGCGGAGCATGCCTGTTTTTTCCCACTACACACTAACCCAGGAATACGGGGAAGAAGATCCAGAACACGGATACAAAGATAGAAAACAGGAAATGAGGATTCCAAGACCTAACATTGTATTTCATACATTCGATCAAAGCACATCATAAAAATTTCAAAATCTAGGTTTTAAGGAAACATAAACGACTCCACCTACGCGTACAGATCAGTACTTTTTCTGAACACTGCGCCCTGACGACGTGATGGAAAATTAATCCAATCTGAAACCTGGGCAGTCTTAACACCCCTTCTGAAAACATTTAATTACTTGTGTAAATGGATTTCAAATCATTGCTCTCTAATGCCATAATCACGAAGTATTGCGATGCAGAACAAGCTCTGACACTCGGGATAAGGAGCATCTATTCGTACCCGACCATACCGTATTTGCTACAGTCAGAATTGCGCTTCGAAATTTGTAAAAGAGTGAGGGTGTTTCCACGAAATTTCCGAAAAATTTTTCAATAACTACTTTTCAACACTTTGCCATGCCGAACTCGGATTCGCGTAAAAAAATTTACAGTATACATGCTTCTCAAGTCCGTCCTCATATAGCAACGATCAGATCAACCAAGCAAAAAATCGAGTGCTTTTCGGTTCCCACGGTGAACAACGGTAATCATACGTGTGTAAAAACACAGAGAACTGAACTTGGGGATATTTCAGGCACATAGATACTGTACTGTGCTCCATCTGGAACTTCCTTATCCACACAAACAAAGCGGCGGGTCACAAGAGTTCACTCTGGAAACTTCGCGACAGCTGTGGGGAACCGTCAACATCTAAGCACGCGTAAATCCGGTATTTCTGGCTAAAACTGCTTCACCAAAAAAAGCAGTAACACCCTGAAGGCACATGCCATGACTCGTTAAACGAATGATGAGGTCATGCCCCCAGAGATATAGAAGGCGCAATTCATTATTCGTAGTTTCCATAAAATTCCGTGTCATAAACTGCATCCGCGCTTGACGCACAGGCTGATAGCTAAGACTTGTTTGAACCACTGATAACGGAGTAACTGTGCTACCCTCACATCTTACAAGGAAATACTGTACCGCAGGAATAATTTGGGGAAATTGGGCCTTTTACGCATTCTCATCATATGAAGAGAATTAGAGAAGACCCAAGCAAAATGACAAAATTTGTAGGAGTTTCATATTTACCTACCCTTTTTAATTACGGCTGATACGCATTCATCCGTGACGCAACGTTGTGGTACAACTGCCACTAAACGCTGCTCCATTCAGGGCTACCTCTTTCACGCCACCCCTAGGAGCACCAATCTCTCATTGAGTGACTTCAACTGCAATGGTTTGGCAAAGACCTAGCTGATCCGGGTATTATCTGCCGCCCTTCGGTTTTTCAAGATTCGACAGACCATCAGTGGGATATAATTTCAAAGACAGATTCACGACTTCCCTTCAAGAGCCCAAAGGGAAAGAGCGTCGAATTATCCACGAACCCCTTTGTCAGCAATCAATTGGTTCACAACCCTTGCAGTATTCCGTACGCCAAATCCCGGCGGTCTAAGAGAATCTTCCTGAATCTATGAAATCAAGTGTGCAAGTTTTGCACCATCTGTTTGAGAAAAGACCGGTGTGGTCAAAGATTGCGATCAGTGACAATTACCAGAAAAAATCCAACATTCATTCATTCATCACACACCCAATATACATTCATCCTACATACAGTATATCAGCACTAGAAATTCGTCCGAGGTATGCTTGACGGAGGGATCCAGACTTTGGAGTACTGGCTCCATAGCGACATCTATATGCAGCGTTATAAGGATCAGTGATTACTGCGTTTTAATACTGACATAGTTAATTGAATGTCCCACAGATGTCTCTCTCGAAGGATGTACATAGCGGTCCACTTCGGGGTGGGTCCTGTGCTCGTCGCCGCCGCCAACACCATAAGCTAAGCCAAGGACAGAGGTGATCGCTCTCAGAGAGGGAGTGCCTCATACGAGGGCCTTGACAAAAGTTCATGCAATAATTCAAAAGATGTCATACAATTGAGGTGAAAAAAATTTATTCTTTTGGGAAAGCATATTCTTTGGCCCCCCAAAAAATCAGTCATGTTTGACAATTCTTTTAAATGTTTGCAAAATTCACCCCAGCAGAGTTTTTCTCTCCACTCAAAAGATGACGATAGGCGCCCCTCTTGCAGATTTTTTTTTAGCCCAGCTTTCCCCAACATTAAAACATTAAAGAAATTGTCAAACAATACTGATTTGGGGGGGGGGGGCCAAAGAATATGCTTTCCCTAAAGAATACATTTTCTCAGCTCAATTGTATGACATCTTTTCAATTATTGCATGAACTTTTGTCGAGACCCTCGTACAAGTATAGTGGCGGGTGCTCCTATTTTTTTGGAGCTTGTGTAACTCCCTGACCGCCTCATGTCCATTTTCGAGTTGGCGGCCGGCGCCCGTGCATCGGTCTCTCTCAGGAACCAAGACGACTTGTGGAAGTGGATGTGAAAACCTTACTAAATTTGAAGTGCATTATATTCCTGAAAAGTTTCCCCAGGCATGGTGTGGATTTGCCTGTCGACGGAAATTTCGCGCCAACTAGTTTTCTGGAACCTGTCATTACAGATAAATTGTATGGCGAAATGAAGTA